ATAAAGACGTATGGCAAATAACTTTGAACAAAGTAATGACACACCTCTGCGAATTCTAAGTAGTTCGAAACATTTGAAGCCCATTTATTATGAGCTAAGTTGAACTTTGCTAAGCTGAAAATGCATAAAACATAATTATTAAAGGACTATAAGTAATGTACAATATATGTATATTTTTTTTTTCTTCAGCTTCAGAAGGTCGAGAAGAGAAGAAATAATATTGTGCCTTATGCGAATCGGACACTGCCTTTTCACAAACGGATACCTACTTAGAGGTCTCGAAGCGCCAACCTGCGAAAACTGTGACAATACACCTCAATCAGTCAAGCATTTACTATTAGAGTGCCCCCTATATAAGAAAGAGAGACAAAAACTAAAGCTTTCGACAACATTGAAAGATATTTTGGGAGACAATGAGGCAAATATCGTCATTCTCTTCGAATATTTATTGGAAACAAATCACTACAGTAAAATATAAAAATTAAGAATAACCGCCAATGACCCTCTAGGGTAGAGGCGAATACAAATAAATATAATAAATAAAATATATATATATATATATATATATATATATATATATATATATATATATATATATATATATATATATATATATATATATATTGCTATATAAAGGACATTATTATAAAAGTACATTCTAAATACGATAAAATTATTTACACATAATACTTGAAAACCATTTAACTTTTGACAAGTTATTATGTGTAAATGATTGTATATAAAACTTTCAAATACTTACAGCTGCCGAATTTCAAAGGGCATCTTTGTGTGTCCATAGGAAAGTTTTCTAAATTCATAGGACAACCAGCTTTAATTGTAAGCCTGAAAAAGAAAACAAAAATAGCTGAAACAGTAGATATGAAAAGACATTAACAATATTCAGAATGTACTATATACAACAAGAAATATTCAAAGAAATGACAGAAAAAAAATTAAAACTAAAATATTATGACAAAGGGAGCACAACAAAAAATGTAAATTCAATTTTAAATTATAACAATTTATAATTAAAATAACATTAAATTTATAATGAATTCTTATATTTTAGAAAAGAAGCTGACAAAAACATCAGCTACTTCTGATGATGGGAAATATACAATATTTCCAAAATGTCATTATGAAATGTTTAGTAATATGAACGTAAGTTATTGTTTTAGAATTAATTTTTGACATCTCGAAAAAATTGATTATAATAGTCAAGCGTTTAACGTTTTTTCGTTGGAACCCATGTCATTCTTATGTCAAAATTCAGTCCAAGATATTGATTTTTTTTATCGGAAGAATTGAGGCATTGTGGAGGTAAAAAGATTGTGAAGGTTTCATGTCGAAGATTTGTTTGGATGTTTGGATTTGTCTTGAATGAATCCAGTTTTTTTACCAATAATTTCATGTGGATTGATGGTTGACTGTAGTGGACAATGGAAGAAAAGATTAGTTTCGGTGATCATTAAAAAAACAATGTAATAATAAATAAATATATTTTTTTTACTGATCATCGCAACAAATCTTTTCTTCCATTGACAATCGTTTAATTATGTTAGATAATGTAATATCAGTGAGGCGAGTAAAATAAAATTAATGTTGCTATTTTATCTAGAATGTTTGGCTTCGTATTAGTTTATTAAACAAAATAGAATGAAATTAAAGTTTCATTTTAGTACGTTTTATTAATAATAGAGGTGGAAAATTCAACTTCAAAACAAATTACTTTCCAATGAGAGACAGCTTTTGGTGTGAGATATTTCTTGAGGAATCATATAGTGAAAAGATAATATATCACAAGTACTGTAATTCACCGAGAAGGGTTGGACGGGGACTGTAAAGGAGAGAGATAAGGAGATTAGGTTCGGGGAAAGAAAAGGGCCACTTGAGCTGAAGATTAGCGGAAGGCCACCACCATTCGACCCCTTCTTGGGATATTTGTCTTTTATTAAATATGGCCACGTTCTCTTTTATAAATAAAGGTTCCTCAAACAAAATTAATATATGAACTTGTCTCTTATAATCCTATTCGTTGGGAAAATATCACGTAATTTAAACATTGTGGCTTCTCTAAATATGAAATAAATTGGATGAAGGCCTACATACGGTATTTATTTAACTGAAAAAAAAATTACTGAAATGGAAGAGGAGCTTCTTCCTTTAAAAATTGTAGCTGAAACTCTCTCTCTCTCTCTCTCTCTCTCTCTCTCTCTCTCTCTCTCTCTCTCTCTCTCTCTCTCTCTCTCTCTCTCTCTCTCTCTCTCTCTCTCTCTCTCTCTCTCTCTCACTCACTCTCTCTCTCTCTCTCTCTCTCTCTCTCTCTCTCTCTCTCTCTCTCTCTCTCTCTCTCTCTCTATATATATATATATATATATATATATATATATATATATTATATAAAAAAAAGAAAAGAAAAAATATATATACATATATATTATTTTTTTCGGTTGGCACTACAGACCATGAGACTCTTTGACCACGAAGGCTATCCAGTGCCATACACGTCAAACACTGGAGACATACCGGAATGAAAGAAGAGAGGAAAAGAGATTGCACATGAGAAAGAAGAGAGCATGGGAGAATTGTAAGATAAAGGATGTGAAAAACTGAAGGACATCTCGTGACACTCTTTTTTTCAGAAAGTGAATGAGGGCCGTAATGCCTTCAAACCAAATGTTACTACGTGCAAGAATGAGGACGGGAATCTGTTGACGGAGAGAGGGAAAATTCTGAAGATATGGGCAAGGCATTTCAGCGGTGCGCTTCAGAGATAACTTATAAGAGAGAGAAATAGTCAGAGAAGACGATGACTTCTCTAACGATACCGAGCCACCGGACGATGAAGATGAAGAGAAGCTGAAAAACAACAAGGTTCCAGGATTGGATGGAATTCAAGCGGAGCTGATACGCTATGGAGGAATGGAAATAAGAAAGGAGCTCCATAACCTAATTTTGAAGACATGGGAGGAAGAGAAAATGCGGGGACCAATCAGATTGCGACAATTATCGAGGGATAGTGCTTCTCTCATGTGGTTATAAAGTTCTGTTTGACATACTATTTGAGAGACTAGTTCCTCATGCCGTGAGGTAGATAGGCAAATATCAAGCGGGATTTAGGCGAGAGAGGTCCACATTGGACCAACTGTTCTCACTGGGGTTGATGATGGAGAAATGCAAAGAGTATAGAACAATTACCCATCACCTCTTCATTGATTTTAAAGCCGCCTACGATAGTGTAACTCAGCCGGAGCTCTATCAGGCCCAGTTGGAAATGAACGTCCCAATTAAACTGGTACGGCTCGTGAAAATGACGATGTCAGGCTCGAAGTGTGCAGTACGAGTGGGAAGTGACTTCTCAGAAGACTGTCATACTAACTGCGGTGTAAGAAAGGGAGATGCTCTAGCCTGTCTTCTTTTCAACTTCGCTGCAGAGAAAGCAGTGCGTATGTCCGGTATCCAACTCCACACAACCCTTCTTAACAGTACCCTTCAGCTTCTTGGGTACGTTGACGACTTTGATATTGCCGCCAGATTGGAACGTGCATTAAGAGATTCGTTCTTGGCCATAGAAGATGAAGCAAAGAAACCTGGGCTACATATTAATGAAGCTAAGACCAAGTACATGAGAGTCGGAGGAGATGGGCCAGGGACTGGTTCTTTTGTAGCTGGAACATTTAATTTCAAAAAGGTATGCAGCTTTGTTTACCTCGGGTCTGAGGTCAACTCCGAAAACGACATCTCTAGAGAAGTCAACAGAAGGATAGCAACGCTAAGACGGTGGTACTTTGGTCTTTCGAAGCATTTTGGAAACAGGTTCCTCTCTAACAGGACCAAAATCACTCTCTACAAAACCTAGTTCCGCCCTGTTTTAACTTATGGATCAGAAGCATGGGCATTGAAAAAGCAAGATGAAAACAGACTACTGATCTTTGAGAGATCAATCTTGAGAAGGATTTTTGGTCCTGTTAGAGGGGGTGGAATTTGCAGAAGAAGGAAAAATGTCGAACTCGTTTGCCTTTATAAGGACATAGACTTGTTGAGGTTTATAAAGTTAGGACGACTTCGATGGGCCGGGCATGTAGCTGAACCGGAAAATGCTGTCCGGAAAGATGAATAGACGAAGAAAGGTTGGCAAGCCAAATGTAAGAAGGGAGGATTCAGTGACATCGGACGCACGGGCTCTACTGGGAGTCCGAAACTGGAGAGCTGCTGCAGCTGATCGTATTGACTGGCGAAAGCTTTTGGAGGAGACGCAGTCTCGGGGAAGGGATATAGCGCCATATATGTATGTATGTATTATTTCTCTAGTTACAACCAAATAAACAATTTAACCCTAATTATTTAAAAATAAGAGGATAAAAGAACCTCATAAAAAAATGAAACTCCTGTTCATTCAGGAGTTTTTTTTTTTAATTTCTCATAGTCTCATGACTGCTGTTATTTCCAATACCTTAATATGTTAGTTTTTGGTAGCATAGACTGTTTGGTAAAATACACTCAAAAGGAGTCGTATCATGGATTATTGGAACTTTACACCTGACTGAACTTTACACGCTGACCGTACTACCTGCACCTGCCCTCACTACTCCGGTCAAATAGCTTACAGTCGGCAGAATATCTGAAAAAATGTAAATCTGAATTGTGTATATATTACAGAGATGGTTACTTTATTAAATTCTCGTGAATCTGGGTAGGTGATAATGTTAAAAATAGCGACAGAAATAGATATTTTAATTTTTGAAATGTTTTAAATTTTATCATCCTTGGTAATTTTTACGTTTTTTTTCAGTTCATTTTTTATCAGTTCGTAGTAAATTTTATTGTGTTAGTCCGCAAAAAATAAATTTTTAAAACTCTTACGCTTCATCGAGCTGAATTCAGAACGATTTAATGTTGGTTATTGTAACGCTTTTCCTTTATCAGACAACAAAATTCTTATAATCAGTTCATAACAGATCAGTGCACTACTTATGTAATCTTATCCTACTTTTCTCTCATTACCTGGAAGAGTAAAGCACTCTGCCATCTTGGAATAGGCGGACGAACTTGTTGGGCGAGGTGATGGTATGAAGATAGCTCTGCTTGCCGTTGTAGAAGTAGGTGTCCGGCTTCCATATCCTGCCTAGCATGCTAATGCTCAGAGCTAGGGTATCCTTGTCCCCGGTGTAGGCAAGGCGGCGGTCGACCCAGGTCTGCCGGAAATAGCAGTCCATCGAGTAAGTCTGCAAAAGTTGTACTACTGGAAAAAAGTAATTATTTACAAAAAAATATGTATATCTTCCGAAAAGGATAAATAAACAAAAAAATCGTTAATAGGATAAGTAAAACCCTGTAGCGCAATAATTACACTGTGAGTCGAAAAAAAAAAATTATATCTCAAAACCATGTAAAGCATTTAAACTGATTATTAAAGAAATTGAGGCATGTTAGACATGAGAACTTCTTCCATAAACTTTAAACTATTTTCCATTTCCCTCTGCTGATAGGGCTATAGAGGTATTTTTCGTAGTTGGATATTACAAATGAATGCGTAAGTCCGGGTATCCACTATGTTTGCAAACCAATGGTGTTGCAAGCGTGTAACAAGGAAATACGTTTCAGCTCTCCAAGCTTTTAACAGTTCGAAAATATTTTGGATCTCTCCGAAGGTTGTAGGTTTTTGCCTAAACTCAAAAGGAGAGCGGAACAAATTCGTGGGCGGTATTAAGCCAATGTTACTAGTTTGTGTAATGGATTGACCTACGAAAAATATTCTCTGCTTATCGAATCATACCAAAAATATCCAATATCGTGGAATTCTAGAGATTTAAATTATAAAAAATATTGATAAAATATGTATGAAAGGGTCCACATGAATGTCCACAAATCTGCTCCACTCCTCTTCGGACAAAAACTGACAGCCATTGGAGCGCTGTAGAATATTCTCGAACTGTCAACTGCTTGGAGCAACTGATTGTTTAATTTTTTTTTTAACAATTAAATGATTGCATTATTATTTGTTCGTTAATAAAACCAATATAATTTACCAAAAACGTTATTATATCACTATAACTAAGCCATTTATGTGTACAGAATGGTGTGGTAGAGGCTTATAGGCACCTCCGCCAGCACCGCTTTTCTCCCGCATAAGTGCATTTTCTACGGAACCGCTTCAAATATTTTAGAAAGTAATTAGTGTTTTAGAAAGAAAAAATATATTGTCCAGCTGTTTTGTTTAAGCACATTTTGCGTTATTGTTGGCCGTTTAATTACAAACGACGCTTTATTTTCAACTTGAAATTTTTTTTTGTTAAAATTCTTGACTTTACTGGTGATTTTTATTACCTAAGCAAATTATTTTTTAATATTTGTTCATGTTTTATTTTTTTCTAACTATTCAGCTTTAATAAAAGGCCAACCATAAAGAAATTAAGCCAAGTGCTGATTCTCAGTGATCAAAAAACTAACTAAAGTCAAAGTCGTCAATCCGTCATCTTTGGGAACCATTTTGGGGCAGTGCGTTCACTTTTATTTGTGGGAGCATTGGCTTTTTTTTTTAATAAATAGTTACGAGAAATACAACAACGATATGCAATTTATAGGGATGTGGATGCACGATAGGGGGGTCTGGCTCACCGTGTAAATGGTCTGCGTGGGTGTTTATGTGTGTGTGTGTATATGTGTGTGTGTGTTAACAGTCTAGCTCAAAAACGAAAAGTTGTACGGAAATGAAATTACAAATTTAAGATTTTTATATACTAAGAATGTTACAGCAACTTTTTCGTCAAAATTGGCTAATCGAAAGTGGCACTTTATATAATAGACTAAACACATTTACGATTTTCTCGAAAACAGCTCTAACGATTTTGATTAAATTCATCATATCAGTGTAAAATAAAGCAGTTTGGAATAAAATGTGGTTATTATTCTAATTGATGTTCTCTAGCAGGGCTTAAATGGGTAATTTTCAATATTAGCTTCCTCTAAAGTACCTTTAATTTTTTTTATTTGACACAGTTGACGATTTCACACTAATTTCTAATATGAAAAATAGTTAAATATAAAATATGAACGAATTTTTAACTAAAGGAGAAATAATAGATCTTAATGGAGAATAATTGTAATTGAGGAACCAAGGAAGACGAGTGCACCCAAGCTCTCCCGAAAGATTAGAACACGCTTCCATACCTATCATGGGATTAATATAATACGGACTCTGACAATATTATATAAATGTACATACGTAGCTTTCATAAATGCTATTGTTAGTATTATTTAATATTTCATTGTATAGATTACAGCGATATAAATATTAAAATGAGGGTACTTATACAAATAAAAATACACACAATTAAATATAAATAAATATAGAGTCTATAATTTTTAATTTCGCTTCGCTTTGTCTGAAAATGCTTATTTCTGTTAAGAAGAGTTGGTAAGTGAAAGTTGTGTGATGCGCGCACCGCACCAGATTTTTTTATTAGGAGCGGAGATAAAAAAAACTTTACATCCTCTCTTTCTCTTTTCTATTCTTGGATTGAATAAGTCGTTATTTACAGTTTTGTAAGGCAAAATATTAAATTACATTTAATGAATTGACGTTTTCTTGCATTATAATATATTGAAAAATTTTAACTCTACAAACCCAAAAATATCCAATCGTTTTGTGTTATATAATTGATTTTAATCTAATGACTTTATTCCCAAATAAGGTCATTAAGTTCCTAATAACATTTTAGTATTCATATTCCAACATATGTTTACCCTAAAAGATAGTTAATTAGAGATGAAATATAGCTATAAGGAACTGGATCCGGTGATGGCCACATTTATAGCCAAGCAGCGGTAGTATTTCATGAGGCGTCTTCTAAAATATTATTGCGGTTACAATAAAACAGCCAACGTTTAGGAATTACTTTATCATGCTCCTCCATATGACCACTTTATGTTAGTACTATACTCGATGTAACGTAGTTTTATGAATGCTGTAAGGAATAAAAGATTCCGCTAGAGTGAAGGTACTTTACACTAGCCTTAAACATTTTAAATTAATTAAAATATTTATGGGATGCTGACAGGTTCAGCATCTATTTCATTTCTAAAATATTTTCCATAATAAAAAATACTCCTTCCTTAATAGTAATCCTTTTTTTACTTTCCCACCTATACTAGGTAAGGAAAGTATTGCAATAGGGTCAAATTTCCCGATATGCGGTTTCCTATACGTTTCAGAGCCCTCTGAGTCCGAAAAACACATTTTTAGCCATTGGTCTGTCTGTCTGTCTGTGCGAAGATTTTAACCGATTTTGTTACTTCTTTTTTTATTTTGTAGGGTTTTGACAACTGATGCCTGTTACAGAAATTCGGTGCTCCATACGCAATAGCTTGCGCGCAATAAATGGACAACATATTTAGACTGTAGCGCGAAAAGGAATTTTGATGAAACTTTCCTATAATATTCTAATAATTGTCCTTTCAATTTTCGTATATGGATGTTATATATGAATGAAAGTTATAATGAAAAGAAAAATGTTGTGGGGCCTAACTCCCTAAGTATATATTTTACGGTAAAATTTATAATAAAACTTTTGAAGGTAATTAAATTACGATTAAAATAAAAAAAAATAATCATCGGAATTGAACTAGTATTAGCGATGATACGGCATATTATATTTTCTTCACATGTTGAAATTTGTTATTTTCTAAAAATTACACCGCTTAGCCTGTATTTTGAAAGGTACTGAAACTATATAAACTACGAAACCATATAGAAATCGTTCATTTTGGACAACTATTAACGAAGTTACAGCTATTCAATTTCCAATGTAAGATTACGGATTCATATTTTGTTGTCAGAAAGGGGTGAATGAGAGTAAAAGATGACTAAGTGAAAGTAAGAATATCTGTTGCCCGCATCACACAAGCTTCACTATTACCTCTACTTTTAACAGAAATTATTGTTAGGCAAAATTAGGCTAAGGCAACAACTTTTTCAGCAATATTAGAGAGTATTGGAATTTTAACACTGATCTACCTTAATCCGGTTTACATTGCTTTAGTTTATCAAATAAATCGTACTCAAATCTTTTCTTTAATCATTTTTCAGGAAAATAAATCTAATTCATTTTTTTTTCTTGAATAGGTAGGATAGTCGTGTGAGAGGACACACCAGATTTTTTGTTTACTATATTTTGAATACTTTATCACAATTTTTGTTTTTAAAACTATAGTAAAATTTATTATTATAAAACTCCCTCCTATTTATTCGACTCCATCTTTGTACACGATGTACACAATATAGTCGCCCATGAAACGTGATCCTCTTACACCTAGTGTTCCACGTATCCAAATTTATCCTTCGAAACTTACGCTATTGATTTCATTTCGCATAAACAACCCAAAATGATTTAGATATTTGTTTTAAATATTTAATTTTTTGTAATTAGTGAAGTATCATAGAAAAAAATCTAAATGATTTAGCATTTTTATTAAATCAAGCGTATAGAGTTGGGGAGTAAAATTGGGTACGTGGAACACGAGGTGTCCGAAGATCACATTTCAATGATGTGGACAGGTCCACATTATTGTGAAAAAAGATGGATCAGAATAAATGGGAGGGATTTTTACAATAATAAGATTCATAAAATAACATAACAATACTGATTACGCAGCAATTGTGTCATCTTTAATGTGCTATCTCCATTGCTCCATTTTAAATACTATCTGCATCTTTTACATAGTAGATGTACTGGTAATAAACAGTTTTCAATTCATTAATAGACAATAAGCTTTATACACCCAAAAGAGAGTACAAATACTGGTAGATTTGAAGCTAGACAATTAAGAGGGTAATGCCTGAACCTGAAGTGATATAATACCACAATAGCCGATTGGTTGATTTTTTATATGGGACACTTCTGGAGTTTGTTTCAGACATGTTTCCTTATCACTTTTCTTTAGGAGACAGGTTTGAAGTTTGTATTCATTCATCTGTAGTTTTCCATTTCCTTTTTTAAAACTGGAGAGAACTTTTTTTTTAAATTATAATTATGTCTGAACCTCAAGTGATAGCATGCTACAGTAGCCGATTGGTTGATTTTTGTTAATGGAGTAAGGCTGGATTTTTGTTTCATAGATGTTTCTTTATAACTTTTCTTTAGGATATAGCTTTGAAATTTTGATCCATTTGTCTGATGTTTGACATTTCCTTGTTTAGAAGTGTGGAGAATGTTGT